CACCACCACCACCACCACCAAAGTATATATTAAATGAATTCCATTAAATTAAAATTTAAGGGCACAGCAATCTGTATAGTCTGAATCACTGAATCATGAATGTTAGCAAAGTTTTATGACTCCCAGTGTAGCTAAAGCGTAGTTATGCATATGATCATCTATGTGTCAGGATTTCATCCTAAAAACTACTCTACACTTGGTTGTGGAAACAATTCCAGGCATTTTAATGATAGCCTTTTGCATTTCCTGCTGTAAAATTGTGAAGAGATCTACATTAAAACAATCTAGTTTGAAAGAAAAGAAGTTATAAATATAATCAACTCTGAGAAGAATCTTTGGTGCATTTTATTTCCAATAAATTCTTTTCAATAATCTTTTCCTGCCTCATTATTTGTAAAAGTTATGTTACTGAAGGACCATCCAAAACAATTTGTTTAATTGGTTCTACAATGAGAGAACTGACAGGCAGATCCCAAAGGCTTGGCCCTTTCTGCAGCCTTATAATCAAGCTCTGACTGATGCCGGCATCAAGCCTGACACTGCCCACTGCACCCCAGGAGGACACCACACTGGCCATGAGGCGCAAGAGCCCAGGGAGAGTCCGTGTCTGTGAGTGTGTGCACCAGCCCTCACGTAATGGCAGGCATAGTTACATTATGTTTACACATTAGAAACTATTTCAAAGACAGTATTTATTTAGCAAAAAAAAAAAAAATATAGAGCAATTGGTTGAAAACAGTGAAAATTTACATAGCAACTGTGTATACTTTTATGAAGATACTGAAAACCAGAGGAACACTTGAGAGAGTTTTTAGTATACTGGTGGGATCCCACTTTTCTGCCACCCAAGTGACTTCCTGAAAGTAAATGAATTTATGGCAACATGCAGGTTCACACATTGCTTTACCCATGAAAAAAAAAATCATTCTGAAAATTCACACCACCAATTTAGTTGAAGAAAGTTATTGATGCCTAGAAGAATCCTGTTCCACTCATGAGAAGCATACATATTAACCAATTTTGAAAATAGCAAATAAAGTGAGTATGAGTACAGTAAACCGCTGTGGAAAGAGTACGATTTCTGCTCAGGCTAAGGCAGTGGTGGCCAGCCTACGGCACGCATGCCACAGCAGGCTGTTTGTTATCATTGAAAGCTCTAAAAGGTTTGCCATCCCTGGGCTAAGGGATCCACTGACAGGTCCTACAGATTCAAAGCCACAAAGCAGAACCTCACCTAGCACCTCACCTAGATTTGTTTCATGAATCTTGCATGATCTTTGATAAGACTTTCTTACATACCTGTACCCAGATTTTTTAAAGTATTGTCCATTCTGTAGATGCAGTGATTGTGCCAAATAGCTGTGTTACAGCCTTTTGGTGTGTTTTCATAGTGTTCATTTGGAAAGGCAGGACTAAAGGTACTGATGTAGCATTTTTGCCTTTAGTGACTGCAGATTACAGACTATCTAGTACTCTATAGTAGTCTTTGTGAGAGATTTGAGGAAGCTCCCCAGGATTACTGAAATTGTTGCACCTGATAAAGATAGTCTAGCAGTTTTTCCTCAGTCTAGTATCTTTGGTTCAGTAGAAATATTTAATAGTGGTAGTGACCACTTGATGCAGAGTCTGGGTTGCTCCATAATAAATCCCTTTGCCAAATGCAAGAGTTGCAGGCTTACTGCTGGCAAGAGTAAAGCAAGTGGGTAAGTAAACCTGTCCTGGTGCTGGGGCATTTTTCAATAGGACCTGAGTCTTATGTACATGTTGGTACAGGAATGAGAGTCCTAGAAGGACTGTATACAGTGTCTCCTGACCCCCTACTGGCCCCTGGTGTGCAGTAATGTTGACATTTGAGACAGCAGATGTGGTGCCTGCCTGCTGGTGTGTAGAGTGAATGGCTGAGCCAGCCCAGGGCGTCTGGATGATTAAGGGAATAGTAAGAGATTATCATTAAGCTGAAGACTTCATTTGGGAACCAGAAACAAGGAATCTATTGGATCTTGAGCCACATATTTTTCTTGAAATGTATGCACTTTCCTTCAAAATTTTGTCAGGGGTTAGGTTATTGAGAGGTGAAGTGAGAAGTGAGATGAATATGAAGTTTTATTTAATGGCGCACTGCACTGGAAAGCTGAAGACCTGCAGGAGATTTAAATTCCAGCTCTTGCTATAATTTTTTAAAAGACTGTGAAATTACAAAAACGCACATGAATGAAGTTCTAATATACTGAATGATGGCAAGAGTAAAGCAAGTGGGTGAGGTTGTCCATTGTACCATTTCCTTCTTTGGATTCTCAGACACAGTTTGGCAGTGCAAGAACTCTGTAATTTTAACAAGTTCAATAAAATGTAAATGCTATGAAAAATAGCATCCAAACTAATGAAAGGGGAATTATCCCAGAGAGCTTAGAGCAAACAACTGCAGTATTTATTATACTAACTATAAGTCTTATCTATAGTTTGCCAATCGTTCATGTTGGAAATCTATTGAGCCTTACTGTGCTCCAAGCTGTCTATTAGAAACTAGTGAAACCAAGATAAGACTTTGCTGATGAGATGCCCAGAGTAGGTAGCAATGACAAACATACGCCATGTAATACAATGAGTGAAACGTTAATGAGTGCTGTTTTATTACAGGATAAATGAAAAGATGGAGGAAGATCCTAAAAGACTGATCACAAGTTCTCATATTAAGATCAAAAATGAGTCTTCCTGAACATTAATTTGCTATGAACAGGGCTAGGGAGATGGCTCAGTAGAATAAATGCTTCCCTGGCAAGTGCAAGGGTCTGAATTCAATCCCCAGTTCTGCAAAATAATAATAATAATAATAACAATAATAATAATAATTGCTATGATCGCAGTAATTACCCTGCAATTAGGGGGAAAGGGTCTGTGTATCTCTCAAATAACAAATCTAAATCACTTAAGGCCCTCTTTCACTGATCATGTCTTTTTTCTAATCTATTAAATATGAAATGATTCAGAGACCCCAAAATAGATTTTTATTTCATATTTTTAAATGTCTATGTAGTCAAAAGCCAACTTTCAAAACCCAGTCTTTTCTATTTCTAAACAATCAGTTTGACATATCCATTTTGGGGGAAATAGGTCATATTCCTGGGAATTCAGTTTTATAAGAGGTAGTTGACTTTGAAACAAAGAAGTCTATTATCATGGAAGATTTTTAATAAAAGCAGAATGATCACCTGCAGACACATTGTCGAAGATTTCTGTAATGGGTTGGAATTAAAATCAGGTTTTTTCCCCAAGGTGCCTTCTCAATACATTTTCTGTAATAATAATAATAATAATAAGCAAATCATTTGGGCTTTTGGTTTTGTGACACTCGAAACTGATACCAATGCCTTGTGGACACTAAGTGCATATTCTATCACTAAGCTATGCCTCCAGCCAAACAAAGGCTTTTGAGGCACACAAGATCTCTCCAAAGAAAAGAATTTCAGAGTTTTAGGAGCATGTGTTTGTTTATTTGTTTAACATGGTACGCAACCATGAAAAAAAAGCATCTTTTAAAAAATCTAATCAGAATTTGAATTAAATAACAATCTATTTTGGAGAAAAAAAAGCAACAGAATAAAATTGGAAACTTAACTCAAAAAGCAAACAATATTATCCATGACTGCCCATCTATTTAACCCACCTCCAATTGTGTAGTTTAGACAAAAATTATTGGCATAATAAAAATTGGTTGATATGTAAGAGATGAGTTTCTTTTCCTAAGGTCAGAGCAAAACAGGAAAACTTGTGAATGAGGTTGAAAAGCTAAGAATGTGGTCAACATAAATAAGTTTCTATTTTATTACAAAGGTGAGAGCAAGAGTTGGTAGGGAAATCATGTGACAAATTTTCCATTTTCTAAAGATTAATCTGGCTAGTCTTAAGGGGAATAATTGCAAGAGAAAAACAGAGTGTCAGGGCTCTAGCAACACTGCCAGGCCTGCAGCCATCCAGTGAAAGAATGAGATCACTGTGGATTAAGGAGCTACTAATGAAGTAGGCTGAAAAACAGATGAATTCAGAAAATTCTTGCTTACACGAAAAAATAAAAAATAATTTTTGACTGGTAAAGTTTAGAACAGGGAAAAATCAATGTTCAGGCCTCAGCAACTGAAATAGGAAAAATAAAATCCCATTTTGAAGGTGGAGATGTCAAGACCTGCCTTTAGAATCCAATACATTTCAGATGTATGAGCGATGAGGCCAAGCAAGCAACTGCAAATATGGATCTACAGTTCAGGGGTTATATTAAGACTAGGAGTATGCATTTGACAGTGTCTGTGAGAAAAATTTAAGTGAAACAAGGGTTAAAGGCTAAGTTACAATGACTAGAAAATAAGAAATGTAGTTTTTAGCAAATAATATAACATGATAGTTTAATGACCTCAAGGTAGACAAGAGTATCTTAAAGCAAATGGAAAAAGGCATTATAATAAAAAAGCTCTAATGTAAGATAATTACAATTTTTTTGAAAAAGGAAAACTTTTGTTTTTCAAGCAACAGTTTTTCTGAATAAAAGGATAAAATAACAGAATAAGAATACAATATTCATAATTGTGGAGGACACAAAGTGGATACCCTAGGAATATATGCACATGGGCAGCAATACTCAAAAGAAACATTATTTATAATTGCCAATCAGTGGAAACAACCCAATATCCTTCAATACTGGGATGGACAAGGACATTTTACTATAGCCACAAAACAAATACTAAATATAAAAATGAA